TTTTTTTTTTTTTTTTTTGAGTTAGAGTCCCACTCTGTCGCCCAGGCTGGAGTGCAGTGGCATGTTCACAGCCACCACAGCCTCCACCTGCTGGACTCAGGCGATCCTTCCGCCTCAGCCTTCCAAGTAGCTGGAACCACAGGCGTGGGCCACCACGCGCGACTGAGTTTTTGATTTATTGTAAAGACGATATTGCCCAGGCTGATCTCGAACTCCTGAGCTCAGACAATTGCCCAGGCTGATCTCGAACCCTTGAGCTCTGACAATCCTGTCACCTCAGACTCCCAAAGTGCTGGGATTAAAGGCGTGAACCACCTCACCGGGCTTTTTTTTTCTTTTTCAGTAGCACTATGCTTTCTTGTTCATTATTATAATATTTGGTGTGAGGATGAAAGGCTAAATTATCCCATAAGAGCCACGGGTGGATCCCAAGATGGGATGAGCTGGGCTGTGATGCTGCTCGGGTGTCCAACAGACCTGAGTTTGAATCCCGGCTGTGCCACTTGCTGGACTAGCCTTATTACCCTAAATTATTTAATATCTCTGAAGTTAGGATTCCTTCTTGGTAAAATAGGGATGAGGATACCATGTCTTGCAGGGTAGTTGTGGGAAATTTGTGATAATGTATGTAAAATGCCTGGCACGTAGTATACACCGTGTCTTTGGTAAGCGTTGTTTAAACACTCAGGCACTTGATTTAAAATATCCTCACATTCGCCCTTTGCCTTGTTAAAAATACTATTATCCCGGTAGTTAAAGGTTTGTTATAAAGGATGAGTTTATGCCGGAGCCTGGGAGAATTTGTTTAGTGAGCTATCGATAAAGTTTTGGTTAAAAAAAAAAAAAACCTCTGTTCGCTCAGTTTCAATAAAGCTTTGTTCAAACGGGGAGCTTATCGCGAGAGTCTGAGGAGCCGCGTTTGTGGCCTGGGGCTCGCTCTCGCGTTGTTTGATCAAGCAGCGGAGAGAGGTGAAAGAGAAGCACGAAGTGTCGCGAGAGCCGGGACTCTCGCGATGTCTTCTGGGCTCGCCCCTCCCCCTCCCCCCGAGTGCCGTTTCGGTTTAATCTAGTGTGTGACTGTGAGTCTGTGTGAGGGAGCGAGTGTGTGTGTGTGTGAGGTACTGAGGTGAGGCGGAGGCAGGAGAAGGGGCTCCCCTCAGGGGCGAGGGACAAAGGGGGCGTAAGGCACCTAGGCCGCGGGACCCCGGCGACAGGAAGCCGCCCCGAGCCGGGCTACCGGGTAGGGGAAGGGCCCGCGCAGTCCTCACAGGGCCCCCGAGCCGGAGTCGGCCCCGCAGCCC